TATCATTCCATGCCAACACTTGGCATTGGTGCCAGAGTTTTGATGTACATTTTCATTTAATCTTCTTATTAACCAATTCTCAATTTGAAAATGAAGAAACTGAGACTGGGAAAAGTTAAGAAGTATACTAAAGTTCATAAAACCAGCATGTGGTGTTGGGTCACCTCCAAAGGGGTTTTTCAAAAAGATGGTGAAAGATCAAAGGAAATGTATCTCCTTTATTCATCATGGAGACCAGATTAGGTATCTGAGCCAAGTGGGCCTGCTAACTGAATCCCTGCAATAGGCAAATCCCCTAACACAGTAGTCAGCAGGGCCATTCAGGGTAGGTGTGCCCCTCACAGAGGTGGGCTTGGAGGGGGAACAGAGGAAGATGTGTGATCTCTCTGTGACCAATTAAGCCCAGAAGAGTGAAAGCTGGCTATAAGCAGAGTCTTTCAGCTGCTTCTCCAAGAGATAAATCACTCCACATTTCCAGAGTCAAAGTGAATATACAAGGACAGTTACATAACTGAGTTGCCTTTTCAAAATGGGAAACTTGGACATGGAAAATAAGTGTTCTCCAATAACAAGTGGAGAAATCCATATCTGTGACTCAACTTCAAAGCCAAGCTTTTCCATTAAACCCCAGGAACACCTCCAGTTACTGTAAGAAACTAAAAGCCAACTCTAGTTCATATATTTAAGACATCATCATATGTGATATCCTACTTCTCATTTTAAATGTCTTCATTCAGTAACCAAATGGAGAAAAATGTTTAAATTTGTTGGTAACGATATCTACAACATGTCAGTGCACTTTGAAATTCACTCCTTTATTAAAATAAGTAAATAATCCAAATTTCACATTTCAATTTTAAGAAAACTCTAGTCTATAGAAATAAGAATTTTGTGACAGAGAGCTTAGAAATTGAAGCTACCATTTCATTCATTCTCTTTCTATAAAAACCATTGGCTCAGCTGTATTGGCGTATTCTGTGTTTAGACAAATGCACTGAAGGGAGAGCATTTTGTTTGTATGTAATTAGGTTATTAAAATTGTTAGGTTTCCTCATTAACCTAAGTGAAACTGTATGGGGAAAAAAATCAGGGACAAATATTGGCACATAAAACTCACTGTTTTGAACAAGTATGTTTGCTTTTGGTGTTAGGACAATGTTTCAGTGAACAGCAGAGTTGGGAGGGTGTAAGAGTCAGGCAAGGACTCAGAGGAAAGTGGAATCCCAGGGAGCAGGCACACTCCAGCCTCCATGAATAATACATGATGGCGGTGATACCTTTTTGAGTGATATAATTCGTTTCAATAATTAATGTTGCCATTGCATGTTTCTAAGAGAGCCTACCAAAGGTAAATAATTTACTGTAATTATCAAAGAGAGTGGTATTATTTATTCAAATGTTTTATAAGAAATAGGTCCTGTTTAAAATGTAACGTCAGGGCCCCAAATTTAGGCATTGTTGTTTGCTATATTAAAAAAAAAAAAGCAAAGTGAACAGTCCTACCCACTTTATATTAAATATTTCCCCTACTGAATGGTTGGGAGCCTCTAAAGTCAGAAAAATTCGTAAGGACTAAAACTAACATCAATCTTTGGTTAATGCAGATAGAATTCAGGAAATTTCAAAATGATAGGTTATTCCTTGGGTGTTTGAATCTTATTTCTGGGGACTTTTACTAACATTGTCACACATTCATCCACTGAATGCATCCCCTCTCACTGAATGCAGAGAAAACTATTTCTCATTCATGTTTGCATTTTCCTATGATTTCAATGAGACAGTGACTTGTGTATAGTGCTCTACAAATTATTTTTCAATTTGATTGCACAGCTTTTTTGTCTTTGTAATTCACAGTTTGCTTTTTTTTAAGTTTAAGTTGTAATTTATCAAAGTTACACATACAATCATGTCATTTTACAACACATTCTCATTAGGAGGAGGAAAAAAACAGAATCCCTCTATACAACTTTAGTCTTTAAGACAACTTAGAGAATCTTTGCTGACTTGCTTGGTGCTTCTGTATCTCTAAAATGTATTATGTTGCTTCTTGTTGATTTTTTTCCCATTTCAGAAATTATTTCTTGCATTCCCAAAATGGAAAATGAAGCTTTCATTTTTTAAACACCTGTTCTTTCCTACCATGTACACTTATCACCCCCCCATTTCACCAAGACAGTTGTATTTATTTTGGTTATATCATTACTTAATGCTTCTGTGGTTATTTCTATGTAATTGTTTTTCACAGATGTGATGTATATTATTGTTGCACTTTCTTTTTGGCACAATATTTGTTTTCCTTTGAGTTTCTTCATTTCTTCAGCGTGCTCTGTACATGTCATTAGCTCAAACCCACAAACGCCTCCCCAGTTGTGCAAATCTCCTATGTTTGTAGTCATTAGGTATGCTGAAGATTTCATCTATTTCATCTGTTTAACTCATCTCCTAGAGTTCTTATTTGTCAAGTTCCTTGTAGGCCCACTACACAAACAGCCTTCTGGGTTATCGTTCATGAGAACCATGAAAATTCCCTGTGTCCCCAACTCAGACCCTGTATCTTACTTTTCCTTGGCTTAGTTCTTCATTTTGATTAGCACATCTTTTAATTGTTTCCTGGCAGAATGCTTGGACATACATTTTTGAGATTTGAAATCTGAAAATATCTTGATTTAAGATTTAACTAGTTACAGAATTATAGGTTGAAAATCATTTCCCCTCAGGGAATATTAAAAGAATTGCTCCATTGCCTTTACCTATTGTTTGCTGTTAAAAGTCTGATGTAAGTCTACCACCTCTGACTATTTTTCCTCTGTAAATTTGTAGGGTCTTTTTGTCTAAGTTCTGGACATCATGATGATTTATGTTCATCCATAGTGCTAGTCCCTCCATGGCTCCTTTTATTGTAGGAACTCAGGTCGTCAGCTGAGAGCTAGTTTGTTTGATTTCTTCTTCTCTAACTACTTTCTCTTTCTAGAGCTGGATTTTTGGAGGGGTTTTTGGATGGACAAGAAGATACGAACTTTCTGAACTGATCCTCCGCTTTCTTATTTTTTCTGTCTTCTATTGTGAAAAATCTCCACCTAATTTCTAGGTGTTTTTTGTTGTTGTTCAACTTCAGTGTTGTCATATTTGTTACTCCCTTTGACTTTTCTGTTTAATGGTTTCACAGATTTAAAAAGATCTCATCTCTTTTTGGAGATAAGTGAAAAATTTTCAAGCTTTATTTCTTCTATTTTATTTTTGTTCTGTTTGCTTATTTTGTTTATGATGTTAGATGCTTTTCTCAACTGTCTAGTGATTCTGGACTGTCAGCTTCCTATTAAGTGTATTGGAAGCTCCCTGCATTATGGAGGCTCATCATCAGTGATTTCTACTGAAGTAATGGGCATGGAACATTGCACTGGGTAATGAAATGCCTGCTGCTCCCCTCAGCAGTGTATTTCAATGGATCAGCCTGTTCTGCCCCCCACTCCGTCTCTGGTGAATCCTCTCACACAATCCCATACCTCTGGCCAAACCCCAGTTCTTCTACAGAAAAAAAAAACCTTTCACTGTGTTTTCTGTATTTTCCATCCTTTCATAAACTCTATCCGTGTTGCATGCTTTTCCATTTACAGTTCCAATAACCAATCTTTTGCCTCCATTTTCTATTTTCTATTGTGTCTAGTCAAGAGCTGACATCATATTTAGGAGTGAACAAATGCTTATTTGATTCTTATGTATATTCTAGTGCTTTGTTGAACTAGCCACCTTTTACTTTCTTTTCCCTATTGAACATACTATTTGCAGTTATTGTAAAGTTCTTGCTAGCTAACTTCAAAATGTAGGATGACCTAGAAATCTGTTTATAGCACCTATCCAGTTTGCTTCTGTTTCTGTCCATAAATTGTGACCATACTGGGCAATATCCATGGCACACTGGACATGACACACAGAAAGTTGTAGACACAACACACTAGATGATGATAGAGTTCTCCATAGAGGATTTGCCTTTCCATTCCTAGGCTAATGGATTGGTGAATGGTTATCTTAATCCAATCAAGACTTCCCTGATATGAGGTGGATTTCCAGTCCTCATAAGCTCAAACTGCTTCTGGTTTTGTCCCTCACCCTGCAAGGTCCTATTCAAAATTCAGGTGTGATCTTTGAGTCATTTCACCTCACAATTCCCAAACTCTAGATTTGTTTTTTATTTCTTATGAAACTGCCAAAAAGCTCCATTGGGCCTTTCAGAGAGATTCTGATTAGGTTTTAGCTTCCTGCTCTGCACAGTCCGGAATTCAGTAAATGTTCTTAGTGAAAAATTATACCACGCTTGAGGCCACTCAAATCTCTACCAAAACACTCTTGTTTGGTTTTTTGTTTGTTTGTTTGTTTTTCTATTTACCAACAGCAGCCTCTACAGGAACAAAACGTAAATTCTGACTGTGTGGTAATTGACAAAAGTTCCAAAGCTAAAAATGGCAACCAAGTCAGTTCGACCCTTTAAGTTATTCCCCTCCCTGAGTATCATTCTTCTTGCCCCAGCTGTCTCTGCTGCATTCAGAGAAGATTTCCATATTTATCTGACTTACTTGGCAGCAACACTAGGCTTCTGTTAGGTATTCTGTCCCACTTGGAAACAGAAGTCATCAAGATTGAACTTTTAATTTTCACTTTGAGATTTGAGGAAGAACTTTACAGTCATTGTGGGATTAATCTGGAAATGTGTTGATGTGCTTAAAAGTATGGATGCAATTTGCACTGTGATAAATTTTGCCATGTCAAACACCCAAGGTGCTTTGTTAAAAGGTTGGAATATAGCATATCAATAAACTATTTTTTAACTTTCTTGAAAATATTTGGATCTGTTCTTCAATGTAGATCCATATAGGGCATAAATTGAAAATTGTGTATTTTGAAAGTTAGACTATAGGACTCACAGAGAAATAAAGATATATGTTATGGGTAGAGAAACCAGTCTTCTGTGAGTTGTTGATGCAATATGTCATTTTATTTTTCAGCATCTAACATTTACAAGAGAATTTGATTCAGATTCTCTTAGACATTACAGCTGGGCTGCAGATACCCTGGACAATGTCAATCTTGTCTCAAGTCCTGTTCATTCTGGGTAAGTAACCTGAAAATCAAATATCTTTATCCTATTAACACTGTATTTATCACTTGCAGTTACAAATTCACATTGACAAGCTTCATATATATGAATTGTTGATCTTCTGAAGGATTTTTTAATACATACGACACATTTGTAAGTCATTAGTTAATATTCTTCTAAGCAAATGTGTATATATTGATGAAAGCACAATGTTGGATAGGAAATTAAATCAGTGCATAAAAATTTCCTGGCTACTTTGGTACTGCTACAATTTTAATTTTTCTAATCAATAATAAAGTTATTCCTTTTATGCAAATGAAGTTTTCTCTGATTTTCCTTTCCAATAAAAAAATTAAATATATAGGTACTGATGTTAACTTACCTCATTGTTTGATTGCCTTGGTGCTTTACTTCTTATGTAGAAAACTTTCATTCAAATATTTAATTTTAAATATGCAATAAACTCTGGTGTTTATTTTCCCCTCCTATAATACAGGTTTTTTGATTTGACAAATGATTTGTGTGATTTTTCCTTTAAAAGATATAAACTTGAACCTGCAGATCAAGTTTGCTACCAAATTGTAACTAAGTTTCATTAAGTTACAATAAGAAACATTACCTGAATTTTTAAACTAAAATTAAAATTAATTTTTAAACTAAAATGAATTCACCTTAGAAAAGTGAATGACCATTGTCTATACCACAGAAGTACAGTTATGAAAACCACATCAAACCCTGTTGGTTAGCAAAATTTGAGGCAAGTAGTTAGAAGAGGAGCTATTTTAGCTGCCTAGTGCATAATCAATGTATACTTAGATATTGGATTCTTCACTTGTAGGTAAAACTTTGGATTGATATCCATACAAGTGGAGTAGAAATCATTAAGATGATGAAAATTTCAAGGTATTTTCACCTCTGAAATTGGCATTTAGGCCATGCATTAGATGTGATCCAGGGCAAGGGTAGATTAATCTGGAATGAAAGAAATGAACAATAATATTTGCAAGGTGCTCATGTAATTAAAATAAATTAAAATAAGTAACATTTACTTTGTGCTTTCCATGTGCCTGGCATTGTACTCTTCTTTATGTGCTGTGCATTATGTATTATCTCATTTAATGTTACTTTGAACTTTAAAATGATACTATGAGATAATATTATCTTCACTTTACATGGTGAAGAGTCTAAGAATCAGAGTAATGCTGAAGATTAGTAAAAATACCCTTAGAAAATTCTGACTTGTAACACCACAATTCTGAAAAACAAATTATAGCATTGTCATTAGTGGAAATAATTTACATGACAGTGTTCAATAAACTATAAGCTATCTGATGGTCATTAATACTGCATTTCATTAACTCAAGTAGAAAAGCCTTTAATTATAATAATATTAATTTTCAAATTGCTTAAATAAGTACACAATTTATATGTTTCTGGGTCTAAGATTGCAAAAGCAAAACAAAATTAGCATTAAGAAGGAAAATAGAAAACACAAGAGATACATTGAATAGGCAGACATTCGAAGGGTTCTTTAAATCGAGTTTGGTAAATTGTCACCAGTTACAAAGATCTGGAACAAAGGCTTTATGCTCTTTCGATAGGAAAGAAAAGTACTGGTCTTTAATGTAATTTAGTAAACTGCAAGTTGAGGAGAGCATAGGCTAATAAGCAGAGAAATGAACTTTCCCATACATTAGAATGAAGTATTTGAACATGCAAATTATCTTACCTTCCCTTTATTAAAGACAAATTCCATGTAGAGGAATGCAGAAATAATGCACAAGGTGGGATTATTTAAAAAGGAAAACATGAACTGGGTTTATACTTGGAAATATTTCACTAAGGCCACCTCTATACTATAGTTTATACAGTCACTAGAGGCAAATATTTTTCTAGGCTGTCCCACAAATGCCAGATGCCTTGGTTTCATTTTCTGATGTTTTTATTTTTCCTTTGCTTATCATTGACATTTTCTGTTGCTTGCTTCTAATTACTTTGCATTAATTTTTCCCATTTGCTTTCTAAATTATTTTGCAGCTATTCTTCTCCACTTCCTCAGTATGATTCAAGGTGATAATTGTGTCCTTTATGTGAACCATTCTTTTTGTATTTTTAATTTATGTGAATTTTCCCCACAGTTAGATCATGTCAATGTCTGTAATGTATCAGCATTTGTCATCTGCCTTTGCTAAAACTAGAAACAAATGTGTTAGTTTTAGGATTATTTGTATAATTCCTGCTATAGTTTAAATATTAGTAAGACACCAGTATGATTAAACACCCTCACCTTTTAATTTGTTTCTATAAGTTATGTTGCATGAAATTTTATTTTACACAGAATCTGGAGGAATGAATTTGGAAAACAAGTCACTGTATTTTGTAATGTTATTGAATAATAAGACACATTTTCTGATTAACATACTCCCACCTTCCTCAGTCTGTTGGCTCTGTAAAGTTGAAAACTTTAAAACAATTAATGATTGTTATTGAGCACCAACTGTGCACTAGGCACTATTCAAAACATAGAGTCTTCCAAATTGTCATTAAAATTATGTATGCCATGTTTTTCTCATTTCATTCTGGTGTTCTTCATAGCAGGGGATATTTTTCCACTGACAGAGATAACCTTTTTACATTACCTTCAGACTGTTAAGCTATGAGTTTTCTTTACTGTTAGTAACCAAGTCTTGCCTAGGCAGTTTCTAAATATGCTGGACAAAATAGTTTTGTTCATTGGTTTATTCAGTAAACATGTATTGTGTGCATATCGTGTGCAGGAACTGTGCTCAGCTCTGCACGTCAAGCAGTGAACAAGACAGACCTGATCTGAATCACAGTCTATATTATTGAGACTCAGCTGTTTGTTGCCAGGGCAAACATGGCCCTCTCAGTATAAACACTCCAATGTTTATTTGTACTAATACAACTGAATTTTTCAGCCCAGAGTTTGATTCATTTTTAATTCATCATGTTATTTTCCCAGTCACAAGATTTTTAATTACTAAATGTTGAGAAAGATCGAATTTTATCTTAGGCTTCTTTACCATCTTGCATATTGCCTTTGTTACTGTTGCATGTGTAGCTGTCTAAGAAAATGTAGTCTGCCTGGACCAGTTTAAGTAAGCCTTGTGCCATTGAGCAGTGAAGACAGTTCATGTGAACAAGTACCTTTGTCTTTGACTACACAGGAGTATTTTTTTGTTTCCTTTTTTGTTGTGGAGGGCTTAGTCTTTTTCCCTCTTTCTTTGAGTATCATAGTAGTTCCAGTTTCTCAAAGTTGGTAGAACGTTATAAAAAATGGATACGTTAGTCCAGAAGAAAATGACTAAACCCAAAAGGAGCAAAAGTATGCAAAGGTGATTGCACCTCACTGATGGTAAGAGTCGGTTCTGAAAATCGAATTGACTGAAAAATGATTCCCGTTCTGTGGCCTCTCCATGGGGTCTGCGGGTCCTTTTGCTTTGTTAATGTTGCTCTTCCCAGGTCAAGAGGCATCACTGTTTAGGAAAGGACCCCCACCTCAGACCTTCATCCAGGGTACTAAAATATGTTGGCAAGATATGAGAACTGCTTTTAGATAAGTAGTAGGAGAGTCTGATGGGTAGAATTATTTTTCCCCCAAACAGGACTGTAGGTATTCAGTTTTATAATTAGCAACATTTGGTGCTGTCCCAGCAATAAGCACATTTTTATACAGGAACATTAGAATAAAGAGATACACATTTGTCTGAACTGCATCCTTCCACAAGTGGGCTCATTGGTCCTTGTTGCAAATATTAAGACTTGGGAGAGCATGCAGAGGGCTGCTTTCTCTTCCAGGAGTGCCTGCAGGAACCAAGAATTACCACATACACCACAATTTCTTTACATTTTCATACTTACATGCAAATTTTTTTCCTCATTAGCTTTCAAATAAAAGCCAGGGACATAATTATGTAATTTAGAGACATTTTCTAAAAAGTTGAACTTATTTTTGTATTGTTATACAGATACTCAAATGTAGGTTATTTTCAAACAGCTTTTAAAACAAATTTTTATTGAAAAGATGAAAACCCATTCCATCAAAATTGCCTAGCAAAATTAGTTATCTTGTACTTTTAGTCTTTTATTCTGCTTTGTGATAGTAAATTTTAGAGTGTTTGTATGGTTAAATATACATTCATTTTGAGTTGTACATGTGAAGACATACCGTGGAGTTTCATCTTACTTACAAAGAGATTCCATACTCGACATTTGGCTAAAAGCTTTTATAGTTCAAAGCCACACTTGAATATAGTTTAAATCACCCCAAAAGACCACATAGAGTGGTTTTGCTTTTAATTCATGACAGTCGTTTATTAGCTATATTTTGTTCCAATTTTGAACCATTCCCTATCCTTCAATTTGCACATCTGTTAAAACTTCTGTTAGGAGGCCATGTTCCGCCAGAAATAAGTGGTGGGGTCTCAGTTTTGGCCCATTGCACAAGTTAAATATGGGTTTGATGTGACTCCACCGTATTTACTTTCAATTTATTTTTCAAGATAGGAAATTCTAGCTACATTGTCTGTCACTTTAAACTTGAATATTTTATTTCAAAATCTGTGAAAATGATCTGTCCCTCCCTTTGACTTGGCCTCTGATCCTCTCCCTCAGGTTTCTGGTTAGCTTTATGGTGGACGCAAGAGGCGGCTCCATGAGAGGAAGCCGTCACCACGGGATGAGAATCATCATTCCTCCGCGCAAGTGTACAGCTCCCACCCGAATCACCTGCCGTTTGGTAAAGAGACATAAACTGGCCAACCCACCCCCCATGGTGGAAGGAGAGGGATTAGCCAGTAGGCTGGTAGAAATGGGTCCTGCAGGGGCACAATTTTTAGGGTAAGTTTTTTTTGTCGATTTTAATCTTGGCCCTCATACCACATCTTTGATTTTCTTTACCCTTGTTAACTCAAGTTGTTGGCTATTAAAGCCTCTTAGCTGGATCATTTTGATCGGGCCCATCTCTCGTGTCAGAGGTCACAAAGCTGTCTAATTCTGTGAAAATCTCATAGGCTAATCCTTCCTTAACTCAGTTTGCTGATCAAAGCTTTTACTAACCAAGAAGCCTGCTCTCTGCTCAGTGAGTGCATGGAACCCCAACAGCTCCCCTAGAAGTCAAGGCACCACTTTTAGAAAAAATATAGACCCCACTGAATAAATGGCTCCTTTGGGTACATTGTTTCTTAAGATAATTTTCAGGGAAATAACCCATGGTGATGTAGTATTTTACAGAAAGCAAAAACACAACTCATTTTCTGAGGTGGCACTTGGGTGCAATTCAGGCAGGCTCTGTCACGTTGACAGTTTGTTCACAATTTCCCCTTCTTGTTTCTCTTCCTGCTGCATGGATGTTATTCAGTAAACTGCATCTTCCTACCAATCCTCCCCCTGTAAATGAGGGTGAGAGCTTGGTTAGCCGAATCCTGCAGCTTGGGCCTCAAGGAACAAAATTTATTGGGTAGGATCTTTATAGACAAGATACAGAATGTCTACAGTTCTCTTTCCATTTTCAATTTTTTTCTGTCACACCCATGGTCTTATTCTTGTCTTAATTTTATTTTGATTTTTTAAGTTTTTAATGCTTTCAGTTGATGTGTGTCACTGAAAGAAGAAAATATCATAGTGGCTTGACTTAATGTAGCACCGCTCCCTCTTGTGCTTTTCAAGCATGTGGAATTCACTGCAAGTGTTCTGCTTTCATAATTTTGTGCATTTGTAAACCTTTCTTTAATTTCAAATGCTTCTACTGAATATTATAGTCTCTAAGACAGATGAGCAGTCTTATTTAACCCAATGTAAGAGATTTGTAGGCTTTGAATCAACATTTTTCTCTAAATGATGTGTGTATGTGTATATATATACATATATACATATAGGTATATATGTACATATATATGTGTATGTGTAATTACAATTTTTTTAAAAAGTGCTTATGAGTACTAAATAGTCTTCATGGACTTTGAGAAGGAAAACTCATCCATAAGTTAACTGATTTTGACAAGTGTTGGGAATACAAGATATTTAAAGAAAACCAAATAGGCAGCAAGTAGAATATGCTAGTTATTTAACTGTTTTGTTTTGTTTAAGCTGAAATGTGTGGTATTTGTTTGTTTGCTTATCTGTTGGTCAGTGTACTTGCCTTGGCAGTCTGCATGAAGGAATCTGTGATGAAAAGTTATGCTTGGCTTTCACCTGGTCACAGACCTTGTTTATACCGTCTTCTTTCCAATATTGTTGAATGTTCTACATGAAGCCACAATCCTTAAATACTTACAGAGACAGTATCTGGTACTTTAACCTGCAAAGATTGTATCTAGTTCTAAAATAAAGTGATTGTCTAATCATCAGGTGTGTCTAAAACTATGTAAATATCTTAATAACTCTGAAAATTATTAGCCCTATTACTAATCGTTGATTTTGTTTGCACCTATCAAAAAGTGAAGGTATTTAAAAAATTTTTCAAGTCCTTAATTTGAATTAGAATTGTTTTCCCAAAAGTAATATCATGTGTCCACCATTTTAAATGAATACTTCTGTAATCAAATATTCACATGCTTTTATTTACATTAAGTGACCATTGCAACTGCTACCCCTTTTTATGCTCTTACCTACTAAGCCTGTATCTTCTGTTATCACATGGATATAGACACATAGGGTAAGAGCTATAGGACATACAACCTCTGTAGGAAAATAACGATACTGTCTACTTAAATGTCATAAAATAAAGCTGCACAATCCAACTACATAAACTGTGTGTGATTGTGATCTGCTTACTTCCATTCATCTCTATTAGCATTCGATAGAATGTTAAAATGTTTGTTAAAATTTAACAAAATTACTTCTGTGGCTTGATTGGCTATCCTCAATTTTTGGCCGTTCTTTCACATTCCTTTGCAAAAGGACACTGTCAAAAATCAATAGGTGACATTTCAAACCAACAAGTGCTTTTTCAGAAAGTTTAAATACTCCAATGCAGGTTACATTAGTATTAGACATTAAGCTGCCCACAACCATTTTTCAAATTGAAACTCAGGCAAACTGTCTTTAACTATACAGGCCTTGAAAGAAATGGAAACTGACTGTTGGAGGGAGAGGGTTGTTACATCGACTGTTTTCTTGCAAAGGGGGAAAATCATCAATCACTCAAAATAGGAAATTTACAGAATTTCTGTTTTTTTAAAAAATGACTGTGTCCTTTTAAATCATTAGCATTTTGTATAATATAACATACATATTGTGCTTTTAAAAATGGACCAACATTATGGTCTATTTTAGTAACTTTCAATTCCTGGATACAAAATTCCTGTTTATATGTGCTGAATATTTTCCCACCATTAAATCTAGTGCCTAACAGATGGTAGGCCCTTGTGAATTGTTTGTGAATGAATGAATGATGGCATGTTTTCAGGCTCTTTAAGATATTATTTGATTAGTAAATGATTCTGCAGCTTTGAAATTCCCAACCTTAGTGGCACCTCTGATTTTCAAAAGAATACTATTAATGAAACATTTTTTAAAGTCTGATGCTATAAATGTATTTAATTTGACAGCAAAATATTGTGGTTTTTTTTTTTTTCCAGCCCTGTCATAGTGGAAATCCCTCACTTTGGGTCTATGAGAGGAAAAGAGAGAGAACTTATTGTTCTTCGAAGTGAAAATGGTGAAACGTGGAAAGAGCATCAATTTGACAGTAAAAATGAAGATTTGACTGAATTACTTAATGGCATGGATGAAGGTAACTATGACAATTCTGTGTTTCTGTAAATGCTTGCAGTCTGAACCCCGACGAATGACTAGACTAAAGGAAAATGTACTTGATTTTCACATGTATGTATTTTAAACTGGGACTTGGGTTCCTAAGCATTTGTTGTTTTCTAGATGAAAGGCATGAAGTTTCATTTAATCTAACAAACTTTATTTCCCTGCAATACAAATTTTTCAGATATTCTGATGATTCTTTTAGCCTTTGATCAATTATATCAATCTTTCCAACACCCAGGAAAGTTTTCTAAGTTAAAAAATGTGTAGGGAGGGGGTAAAATAATAATGGAAAGTATGCAAAGCATGCAGAGACTTTTTATGAAAATACATTCCCATTTTATTTCTGGAATTATTATTTCCAGACCCTTTCATCTCATTCAGGTTTTCTCCAGATTATGTGAAATAGTTTATGAATTTTTAATTTCTCTTGCTTTATAATCAGTTTTTAAGCAGTAAGGTTCAGGCTAATTATTGGAGTCTGTGGTGATCCAATAATTCTTTGACCTGACACTGATAAATGGATATGTAGGCAAGTATTCCTCTTACATACCTTCGGGATGTCTAAGCTTTAGAATCACAGCTCTTTTTCTTAGTAGGCATTAGGAATAGATTTGTTTTGAGCTTAGCTACTTGATGCAGATTCTTCTAAAAAAATGTATAAAACCACTAGGGACTAAGTTCATCATAAACTGAACCTGATCTTTATACTGACTTCCAAATCACTATGAATTCAGCAGTTGGTTTACTTACAAATTTTATTGGAGATATAATTCACATACCAATAAAATATACTATTTTAGCATTTCATTCATTGTTTTTAGAATACATCCAGCCCTGTCTCTCATGGTTCCAGAGTGTGAACAAAGGAGCTAGACAGACTAGAGGGTGTTTGAGGGATACCCATGGGCGAGTTCCTTGATCCCTATAATTCTGTTACTTCCATCAAGTAGAGAGTACCTTCTCATTTCATAGGGTTACTGTGGAGAAAAAAAAGTATGTGAAGTACTTAAGAAATAAAGCCCTCGTTATATAGTAAGATCTTAATAAATATCAGCTATTATCATTATTATATTCACTCTATAGAAAAAGTTGTCATCCCATAGGTTTTGTTTAAGTCACAGTTAATAATAGCCAACCATAAAATTGAAGATGTCTTTATAGCAAGGTAGAAAACTAATAGTTGGATCCAGCATTCATGGTGTATTAATGGTAAATGTCTTTTTATCATACTTAACATTTTTATTGAAGTAACATTGCATTATAAAATTATGGGTTTTAGGTGTTAATTTTTGAGATTCAACATGTGGATATACGACAGAAAGATCACTATTTAAAACTTCCAGTCCTTCACCATACCAGAATGTCTTTACATATGAAAATTGAAAAGAAAGCATAGTTCTGCAAAGCATGCAGTTTAAATCTTTATAGATGAGGGCCCTGAAGTTCAGAGAAGTCAACCTAACTTATATAGGATTACCACACTAGTAGCACAGGAATGACATATAGTTCTACCTGTTTTAAAAGGCTTATTAACTCTATCCTACTTACTTTATAACAGTGTGTCCTGTGGAGAAGAAATAAACCTAACAAGGAAAATTGTTAGATTTTAAACCTCTAGATTTAAAAATCCAGAAGAATAGTCAATTTAAATGTGTTATGTATTTAATGAGCATACATTAAGTGTTTATAGATATGGTGATATTTATATTATATACCAGCTACAATTTCAAATGATTTCTGATGGATGGTAACAGGCAATGGTAATTAAGATTTCTAATTTTTGTATATTTTAAAGCATAAAATATGGTCATTTCTTATCAAGAAATTTGTAAAGAAATAATGAAAATGTTGAAAAGAATCAATACAAAGAGAGTGAATTGAATTAGGGTATAACATAGCTGATTTGGGATTTTTTTTTAAATGGAGAGAATAAGAGAAAGGGATTTTTGCATAAAGATTATTTGTTTTAAGAAAAATAAGCAAAGCATTTTTATGTATCTAGTATTTCTTAAATGCTAAAGTAGGTTACTAATTTTGAAAATGTGCATATACTATACAAGGATTTTCTTTCTTTCTTTTTTAATGGATAACTACCATGATACTTTAAACTCCTGAAGGCAGGGTATATGTCTTAATCATCTTTGAATCACCAGCATCAGGCATAATGCTGATGTGGGCGCTCACTCAATCTTGGAGAATATGTAGAAAGGAGAACCTCTGTTTAATAAATAACTACCTAAAGAGTATTTCCTATACCCCTAAGCTTTGCTAAGATTAATATACAGGAGAAAAAAATTATAGAGATCATTTACTTCAAAAAAATCTTCTGAGAAAGTCACAATATTCTGGGGAGAATATTGACTATTCTAAGTCAGTGCTGCCAACAGAACTATCTACCATAATGTAAATATTCTGTAACAACAGTGATCACTAGACACATGTGATTTTTGAGTACTTGAATGTGACTCGTGGTTCTAAGGAAAGTCATTTAATATTTGTTTAGTTTTAATTAATTTCAAATAGTCACATATGGTCAGTGGCTAGTTCATTTGACAGTGCAATTCTAGCAAGAATACCAAATATGCTAATAATATAGTGTTTATTTTTTAATACATATTGCAGTATGACCTATCAAGCAGGCATAGAATTTGAAATTTTTTAAGATTTATTTTTAGACTGTAATTCCTTGATTTCATGGCAATATGTCTTCATTTTGTTCCTAATCAACTAATTTTCAAATAGGAATTAGTCTTACCTTTACTCAGACAAACAATGCCCCAAATAAACCTTATACTGAGGACACCTGTCAGCTGTCTTAAAGAAACAAGGATATGACCAAATGTCCTGGGTTCTGTGTGTTATCATAGAAATAGTAGATCGAGTTTCTTTACTACATTTTTAAAGACCAGATAAACTTTGGTTCTATTTTAGACAATTAAAAGAAAATATTTCCAAGTTTAAAGAATCAAGCACTCTGGAGAAAAAAAAAAAAAAATAAGGACTAACTTGCTAAAGCATAGTGGTTTTCTTCATGTAGTAAACTAAAAAAATAAAGAACCACTATAAACATTATATAGATGAAACTCAGATTTCATACCAAGTTCAAGCCCCACTTACCACCATTCTTTTCCTTGTTCTTAAAAATATTTCATTCTTGTTGACACATCCCCCCTCCACAAATAGACTGCCAAGATAAAAATCAATCTTTTGGAAAAAATTCAACCATTATTTTTCCTTGAATGTCAAAGTACTTGTGGGAAGAAAAGCATAAGCATACTTCAGCTTTCATGTTAAAGCCTACCCTCTCTACCCTACCCCCCACCACAACTTGTTCCTGGGTAGTTGAAAGCTAGCAAGATGAAAATAATACATAAAATAAATCAGTGACCAGATCACTCATGACTTCCTTAAAGAAAAATCATTCATTTTTTTATATTATCTAATCTATTTTCCTTCATTCATGACAGTTAAGCTTTATCATCTATGATGAATGACCCAGTCTTAGCTCACTTTTCATTTTTAACCCCCTTTTCCATAAATGAGTTCTATGTTCTACATACTTCTTTTTTTGTGTGCATAGGAGAACTGGGGTGTAGGCCAGAGGTGCAGGGTGGTGAGAAGATTCCCCAGAGACAGAATTGGGAGCAGAACAGGCAAATCTACTGAAATACACTGCTGAGGGGAGCAGTGGGCGAGACAAGAGAGGTCTGCTGCACCATGTGTGGGTTATTTCCTTGGCCAGTAGTGGAACTCAGAGCATAGAGGTGATAATGCTGAGACTTAACCTTAGGCCACCAGGGAGGCCTCATACTACTTTCATACCCATTTTTGTTTTACTCTCTTCTCTGAAAAATCTTATACCCAAGTATTTAAAAATCATGTTAGCTAATATTTTTGATCACTAGTTTTTACTAAACAACACAATATGTTGTTTAGTATGAACACAATGAAGACATTAGAATAACTCCAGAGAAAGACAGTTTCAAGGCGGAGGAAGGATTTGTCCAGTGTAATGTGATGGCTAGGCTCATCATCTGTGGGCATCACATAGACCTAATTCCATCCTGTCTCCTCCATATACTAGCTGTGTGGTCCTATCCAAGCACTCAGTGTCTCTAAACTTTATACAGTAAAGCTACCTCACAGGGAACTAATGGGGAACAGATGAGCTCTACTATATGTCAAGCTCTTAGCATGATGCCTGATACATGAGAACCACTCAGCTGATGTTAATCATAGCCATGGCTTCCGTGGCTCCTACAGTTGTGCCAGAGAGCAAGTGGGGACTGAAAGAATGCCTCTCTCACTTGCCAAGCCATCAGGCCTGCATGACAAAGCTGTACTCTTTTCTAGTTTGCTCACAGCTCTGTCTAGTTGCTAAGCCATGTACCTTCAGTGCCCACCGAATACCCTTTCTCAAATCTTACAAAGACGTCAGCAGGGCTAGTGGAAAGCCTGACCACAACCAATGACAATGACACCCAGCACCACCATCCAGCCAGGAACTATTGAATAGATATATCTAGATCTTGAAAATCTGGACTTCTGACTCCAGATTTAGTTGTTTTTCTACAATACTTCTTTGCTCCATATGTTCTCAAATTAAGGATGCCTATAAAAAAGTACGTTGCATGGAACAAAAATGTCACATAAATGTCAGCTGCTATTTAAATTTTCCATTGCTAATCAAGGTACTTCATAGTGCTTGTATGACTCAAAAGGATATGGTATATATTCAGGAAAAATTATAGTGGCAAAATAAGATGGAATTAACAGTTATTTCCATCACTAGCAAGCTAGGGAACAAAGCCTCATTGGTTATGCTAATGAAGCAGGTGTGTTAACAAAACTCTATTGAGGAAGAGGCTAGAATGACACAGGGGAGAGTTGGTGTGAGTGTGAATAACCTGCTGTTACCACTAAGGTATCATGTGGCAGGAGCAGCTTCATTGGCAACAGACATAGTATCTTGTT